GGCCAAACAGTTCTAAGTACCGATCACAAAAAAAAGAAACATGTAAATAACTAAGCCATTTCACCAAAACAGAGTAGCTGGCTTCTCTCACTCACCCGCTAATGGGCTTCACGCTGTTCATCCACCATAACGACCTAGGCAACATCAACCAAGATGGCCCACGAGAAGGAGCAGAAAAGGATTTGCTCGAAGGCGGGAAAAAAAATGGAGGTAGAGCGTCCTCAGAAGCACCTTGCGTCGGCTGAGAAGTGGAAAGATCAGAGGAAGATTTACTTAGATGCGTTAAAACCTGAGGACTAACGATGGCGTCGGGGACTCTCCTCGGCTCTCTGAATTCGAGCGTCAAATTCCGGAAAGTGCTCTTAAGCTCCTGCTTCAGTCAGACTGATGAACGATTATCCTCATTAGGTCATATGACGGCTCGTTAGGTCAGGAACACCTGTTTGGAGAATGTTTTCCTTGCTACATATTCGTATGTTCATTCGTTGAAAATGATTATAATTACGCATGGGTAAACCTGTGAATTACTTGACACATGCAGCTTGCTTTTTTTCTTCTTCTTTATGTTTACATCATGTGTATTGAGTTTAGTTTTTTTTATTTTTCAATTCCTTTCTTTTTGTATTGTACGGGATACGAGCTTAGGGTATCTACAAAAGCGGGCCATACATGTACTTTTCTATAATGTATATTTGTTTATTATGAAGATGGTGTCTTTCGGCAATTTATATGCACACACACTCTCCTGAGAACATTTGTAAGCTTCTGTACGTTTTGCAAGTGTTATAATTAAGTTTGATAGTGCAGACTACAGTGTGATATGGTATACAGAAGACCGTCGTAGTATGTCTTTGTTGAAGCTTCTGTGAAGAATATCCAATGTACATAAGAATTTAAAACATACGACTGCCATTTACTCAAAGAAATTCATGTGAAAAAACTCATATATATCGCTAGTGTCCCTTTTGACTCTTCTCTTGCATGTTTTATGAATAAAGATTGAACTAAAAGTAATTGTACATTTAGGAAAACAAATGAAAGATGTCAGACAGGGACAACAATGACTAGTAAATTAGACTTAAAAGGACAATCATTGTAAATGCGATGTACCGGATGTTGAGAAAAGTCATTATGACATTTGAAGTGACAGTCTTTCGATAGCAATAAAGGGATTTGAAATAACGCTGCTGAGGCAAAGGAAAGGCCGATGGTCGCTGACCTTAAAGCAAGTTAATATATGTTTCAGAATAGACTTCACAATTTCTACACTGAAGACGCCAGGGTAGGCAGGCAAGGGTCAATAGATCATATCAGTAACCGTCTTAACTCAACCGCCACGGATTTATGTTCTGCCCCCTGTATTTTTTGTGAATTTTGTTACATACAGATGGCTTAACATGTGCTCAGCCACCAAGGAGACTATCAGTAGACCCTAGTTACCGATCCTGATTTCCCCATTCCTTAAATTGGCGGGAAACTGTATTTTTCTTTTTAATACAATTGATATCGATACTGTTATTATTGTTATTGGTGTTATGGTTATTAAATTATTATAAAAATCTTGGTAACATTTAAGACAATAAAATAATGCAAAAGGCCCTTTCCAAAAGTCGAGGAAATGGGTAAACAGGTGAGATAGGTAAGACTAATAACTGACTCCTTGGTGACTAAGCACTTGCAGAGCCACCTGTGTGTAAATACAATAAATAACCTTGTATTACAGTGGGCATGGCATATATTCTTACCATATAGGACAATTGGATTAAGTTAGCGGATCATACCGATGACTATCTAGAAAATTTATGAAGACAAAAAACTCTCGCCAACTGTTTTGAAAACTATGAAAATAACAATCGAAGTTCTGTCGTTAGGTTGAGTTGTTTGGCCATGAAAAAGGCCGTCAAATGCATTAGAATAAAGAATAAATAGAATAGAATAAATGAGATAAACGATAATAGAACGGTAGGGATAGAAGGATAGCTGTAAGGTGGAAGGACGAGGGAATAGATTATCGCTATTGTATGAATCGGTCATAAATAATCTTACGACGGGTCTGCCATGCTTAGCATCTGATATACAAAATAAGTTACGGGAGTGTGCGTGTGTGTGTATGTGTGTGTGTGTGTGTGTGTGTGTCTGTGTGTGTGTGTGTGCGTATGTGTGTGTGTGCGTATGTGTGTGTGTGTGTGTGCGTGTGTAAAGAAGAACTCGAGGAGATCGAAAATTTGAAAGAGATAAAAGAAATTTATAAAAAGAAAGTAAAAAAAAACAAACAAACAAAAAAAACATTGGAGAACAGACACGCATTCATATTCCAAGCGGAAAAAGGAAATAAAAATATACAAATAAAAAGGAACTAGAGAGCACATGACTAATCAGCTAAAACAATAGAGAGATAAGAAGAAGAAACATTTCTGATAGGTAAAGATAAAGTGGTAAAAACAGTTAATGTTTACTGATGATCATAAAATGTGAAGTCCTGACGGTGATAGTAATGTTAAGAGGGATGGTAATGGCATAACATCGATAACAGTAAAATGATGAAGATGGTAATTGGATGAAATTAGGAGCAATTTTAACAATTATATTAGCATGCATAATCATTTTAATAACATTAGGATTATGTTTATAGAATATATTACAGTAGTAAGAGGGATGATATAGATATTAATAATAGCAATGATTATGATAATTACGATATAATAATAATAATAATAATAGTAATAATAATGTTGATGATAATAATAATAATAGCAATAATAATGTTGATGATCATATT